TCTTCTTGTGACTGCTGTCTGCAGAGGAGGCTGCCTGCCATGCTCATGCTGGTTGGCTCTTGGATTAAGTTGCTTTTCGGAGTCTCCAATCACACCTATCTCTTCCAGAGTGGGGTCCTGTGGGACCATGGGCCAGTTGTCCGACCATTTTGTCGGTTCCTGGTCTAGAGCATGAGGCCCTTTTGCTTGCTGTAAAACACACTGCATCATTTTGAGCAGAAGTGAAGAGGTGGTGCCTTTTAATTCTCAGGACTTTAAGTTATTGTTAGCAACGAATTTATTTTTAAACTCGAGCAAAATTATTCAAATCCTAGAGTTGTATATGTAAAGTACATATGTGAAATGATTCATCTCGATTGGTCTTACCGTGATAAACAGTCATCAGTCTCGTTCTGGTACGAGCGCATATTTCTCATATTCTGACTCCTTCAGACTGGGGGGTTTCTGATCAAAACGTTGGGCATTAACTAAGTTTTAAGTGCGTCTGTCTCCTGCAGCGTTCTGAGGACGTCTTGCCTGTCTGGAGGTGGTTTGTGGTCCCTGGGGTTGAGCATTGGAGCCCGAGACGAGTGTGTGTGGTCTGAGCAGGCGCTCCCCTCTCCTGGTCGTTCTCATGTGTGTCCCTGTCTGCCTTGTGGGCTTGCCATCAGGGTCGCCTGAGACGGACCACCAGAGCGTCTTAAAGCCCGACTCTTAGCTGTAAGCAACAGTCTTACCCAGTGCTCTTCCCAGCCATGAATGTTTTAGGTATGAAACGTCGAGAAACGACCGGGTTACCGCAAGAGGCAGCGGTAACCAGCTCGGGGTCTGGGCATGGCTTGTTGACTTGTCTGTTTTTAATGATTCTAGGTAACTCCATTTCCAAATACTGGATTTATAAATGGGTTTACGTCTCCAACTTTCAAACCTGCAACATCTCCGCTGACTTCACTCAGACAGTACCCTCCGAGAAGCAGGCAAGTTCCACAAGTGACTAAAATGCTGCTTTTCTACCTTTTGTCATAAGGGTCGCTGTCACTTCATATCTCTTAAAAGCAAACCAAAGTGTGTTAGACCATGGTCCTTGCCGTGTGTGTGAGTCCTGTTTCCTGAGTACAGACAGAGCTGTGACGACCGCCAGTGGTGACAGTAACCAGAGGGGAGACCGCGGGGGGCGCAGTCACGCGGCAGCGTGTGCTGCTTCGCCTGCAGAAGGCGGGCTCCCTTCACACGGGCTCCCGGGCGGCCTGCAGCTCTGCCCGCTGACTCTTCACTGCTACACTTGCACTGTCTGCACCGTCAGACGTTCCATGTGTTAGCCGTTCTTACCGTTTTTTGTGTTTTTTTCTAAAAAGATAGCAAAGCACATTTTAGCTTAGACGTTGCTGTGTTAGCACGTTGGGTTCGTAATGCTGTGATCATTTCATAACAACATTTTATTAGCAGGAACCCCAGTAAATCCCACCTGCGCCATGCCATTCCCAGTGCAGAGAGAGGACCCGGGCTGCTAGACAGTCCTTCGATATTTAACTTCACTGCGGATCGGTTGATTAACGGAGTGCGGAGCCCACAAGCCAGGCAGACAGGCCAACCCAGGACCCGTGCACAGAACCCTCCAGCCTTTGCCAAGAGAGATGCTGGGCCCGGGCGGGCAGAGCTGAGCAGCCTCGAGCCCTCTCCTGGCTTAGGTAGAGGCCGGTGAGTTACTTGGAACTTTTGTTGAATGTGCTTGTAAATGCTTAATACTCCCGAATTCTATTTAGATATGTTTTATAATCATTTTCAAATACGTAATGTGTTTCGAAAATCAAATTGAAGGCTGCAACCGTGAAAGGTCTTATATGATTACTCACAGAGACCGAACTGGTCTCATCTTCGTTGTAATAAAAAGTTATGGAATGAGCTCTCTAGGTGGAATGGAGCCATGTTAGGTCACAGTTGTCATCTGCGGAGCATTTTGAGCTGGACGGATACCAGAACCCACGACGTGTGAGCCTTCGGTCTCTTCTTGCTCCTGCCGCGCAGAGACCCGGCTCGTTCTCTCCCTGCTCCGTCAGCCAGCAGGGTCATACGGTAGACTGATGCTGAGCTGTGCAGCCAGGCTGATGGGAGCTTCGATTCCTCAGTGGTGAATCTATTTGTAAGACGGAGTGGTGCCTGTGGGTCACACGGAGGGCGGCCCCACCCCTGGGTGTCGGTCCCACAGGGCCCGTGGCCACTGCCTTCGCCCTTTTCCTTTGATGCAGCTAGCTGCCGCTTGCTGTCTTGCTTTCAGCCACTTACAGCTCGCTAGAGAGGTGAGATTGGCTAGGTGGAGGGGAATCGGGGGTACGTTCAGTCATGGCTCGCCTGCCTGGGGGTGCCAGACTGCAGTCGGCTCTCCCCAGCTCCTTCTCTCAGTGGCTGGTTCGATGGGGCTCTCAGGAAGGAGACCTCTCTCTGACAGCTAGCTCAACCTGCTGAAGCTTTTTTATAAAACCTGCTTTGCAAACTTTGATGAACACATGTCCAAGTGTCGTGCTCAGAGTGTACAGCACGGTGTCTGACTGACAGGTCCCAGGACCGTGGGTCCCTCTGTTTCCCTGGCACATGTGTGCTTCCAGGGCAGGTTGGGGCGTGCGGGACCCAGAGGCCGTCCGCCGTCTTTGGAGTGGCTAAGCGCACGGCCAGGCCTTGGAGGGGTCGCAGGGCAGCGTCAGTGGCCGGGGCAGCATGGCACACTGCTGGAGCACGGGTGTGTCGGATGTCATTCAGTCGGTTCGGCAGGTATTGGAGGCTGAGGGGCAAAGGCAGACACTGAGGAAATGCAGGGCAGTGACTTCAGGAAACAGCTGCCGCCTGTGGCACCGGGGGGACGTTGGGAGTTTGGGGTTGTCAGACCGAGAGGTTTGGAGTAGGGCCTGTGGACCCTCAGGAAGGGCAGAAAAGGTGCCACCAGGAAGGTAGGTTCCCGGGTCTCCAGCCCCTCACACCTCCAGCTTCCTCTAGCATTTCTGTTTGGGAGGAGCTCCATGAGAAGTGTCCTGGCGATGGAAAGACAGGGCCTGAGGGACACCTGCTCAGCGTCCCATGGGAGGGTGAAGGGTCATGTGAAGCTGAGGAGCACGTGGTCGGCCAGCGCTGCCCACCTCTGGCCACACACCCATCACCCCCCGCGGCGCCTGGACTTCCAGACAACAGTAGTGGCGAGTTCATGCTTCCACCCAGTGGGGACTCTACCAAAATAGTCTGTGCCCTGAGGGCTGTGATCACTAGCATGACACTGGCGGGGCGCAGTCGAGTGGGGCGCAGTTGAGCGCCACATACCTGAGGCTGGCAGGAGGCCCTGGTCGTGTTGACAGCCGGCTCCGCCCTGCTTCTCCTGCTCCAGTCTTCAACTGGAGGGCAACCTTGAGGGCCCTGAGTCTCAGCAGCTGTGCCCCACCAGCACCCCCTTTTCTAGCTTCAGTTTTGTTTCCCATTAACCTTGTCCATTGGGTGTGAGGAGCAATCCGAGGCACCCCGGGAACTCCCTTGGACCACACGTGGCTCTCCGACCCCTTTGGAGCAGCAGTGCACAAGAGCAGTCACCTAGCCAGGTTCAGTGGCAGGAGGGGGCCCAGCTGGGTGGACAGCTGTCTCAGTTATGTCACCTGCTGAAAGCATCCTGCACTGGCGACCAAGACAGCCAAACCACCGGAGTTGGCAGTTGTGGGCCCGGGAGCAGAAATCGTGCTGGGGGGTATTGGATGTGCCCCGTGGTGCCTGGGCATGCGTGCTGCTGTGGCCTGAGCCTCCTCACGTGCAAAGCACGTGCTGCGTCTCAGAGTGAGGGCCATCCTCGAGGGTGCTGCCGACCCACAGCCTCACCGCTGAGTCTTCCCTCAGCTTGTCTGCTCCCCAAGTGGGGCCCATGCCCCTGCTGCTGCTGTGGACATGTTGTATGGGCACCAGGGGCTGAAGGCAGCATCTGCTCAGGTCCGCCGAGTGGTGCGGGCGGGCCGGAGTCAGGCAGAAGTGCAGCCTCCTGCAGGATGGGGCGGGGCTGGCACTGGGGCCTCAAGCGCACAAGTGTCACTGTGTTGCTCAAGTGACACCGGGGTAACGGGGAGGAGTCTGGACACCACCTTTTTTCACCCAGCGGTCAGGAGTCTCTTCTAAAGTGGATGGCTTCAACACAGATGCCTGTACACTATCTCTTCCACAAGCCCCCTCCCTAGGTTTGCTGTCACCAGAGTTTGAGCCTGCTTTTGTGGGTCTCTGTCCAGCCAAGTGCTTCGCACTCCTGCTCGAGAACCAGGGGAGACCTGTACTTCAGCCACTTCCGCGTCCAGACACAGCGCACAGCACTTGTGTTGCCTGAAGTTCTCCTCTGGGAGGATCCCCTCACACGCTGGCTTTTGGGGTGCTCCCGATAGAGGAGCGATGCCGAGACAGCCGGCACATCATGCGGCCATCACTAGTCTAGGTTCGACTCTCCCCACAAAGCCCTAGGTGTAGGTCAGGAGCACAGAGGCGCTGCACTGGGCTGCGGGGCCATAGCTCAGACATGCAACTAATGCTGGTGGCGGGCACTCAGGTCTGGGCCCATCTCCGTGGCTTAGCGTCCCACTTGTGATGGGCAGCTCAGGTCCATGGTCACTGCTCTCCACAGTAAGGCATGCAATATCCACTAGAGCTGACTCTGGAGTTGACTGTATAGCAGAGCACGTGACCTTGCTCTGGAATCCGTGTGGTTAGCACTCTGCTTCTGCTGGATGTACAGGCCAGAGGTTCCATGCACATCCTTGGCGTTAGCCAAGGGCGCAAAGCTCCTCATTTTGATTAGTTAGACCATCTTGGGCAAGAGTGCTCATAGGTTTTCTATAAAATAATTTGTCAAGATTGCCTCTAAATTTCTTTCCCAAGGGAGTCTTCCCGTTCAGGTGGAATGACAAAGGGACGAGTAAATGGAAATGAAGTTATAAATTGGCGTAATAATGTGAATGGTTAGGCCAGGTAGCCCATCCAGGGTGGCAGAAGTGTCTCAGTACCCTCAGGCCCTGCCGTGGCCACAGCGTTTCTGCACTGCAGTACGTGGCCCAGCTCTGAGCCACAGCTGTCTAGATGCCATGCCTGCAGCCAGCAGCTGGGCAGAGATGGAGCGCGAGGTTTGGAAATGCACGTGTGTTCAGCGGCGAAGCGCCCGGGCTGATGACTTGGACGGTCCAAGGACTGGGCGGCGGGGAGGCGGCAAGAGCCAACCATCTGCTGGGGTCTTCGCGCTTTGAATGATGCGCCTGGTACATTTCATTGCTGTTCTCTGATAGTTCACCTGCGTAGTTCGAGGTCAGATTTTACACATCGTGTCATTCCAGCTGAATGGATGTTCACGTATCAATAGCAAAACAAAAATTTTAAATAGCCCCTAGGAGAATTCTTTCAATAAATGTGTTTTTCTTTTTCCTATTTTTATTTACCTATCTGTACATCAGTTTTGGTCCTTTACTATAAAATTTTGTTTTTGTTTTGCTTATACTTTTTAAGTTGGGATTTTAGAATCAAAAGTCATCTCTGAAAAGTTATAAGGTCATAAAGATTGAATGTGTGTGCTCTAATCTTACATGTGCTCAATGAAAAATGTTGCACGTGGGAAAAAGTTAACACTCTCTGGCTTTCCTCTCTAGGAAAAATTCCTTCGGTTACCGGAAGAAACGGGAGGAGAAGTTTACAGTGAGTACATCAGATTTGTGTCAATTTAGAAGACATTTAAATCGAATTGACATTGAGCAAACATGAGATGGCATTAAGGGATTCCTGAAATTTTTGCTTTTCTGAGAGGGAGAAGGTGCTGGCTAATTCCCTGTCACAACACAGTGCATGCAGGTGTATTTGCTGCGCAGTAGGTACCGCCGAGAACATACTCTGCACATGCTGTAGCTGACCAGGTGTCTGCATGAGCCCTTTCTCTGTGGGTCACCGCACAGTGTAGTTTCCAGTAAGTGGACTCATCGGGTCGAGAGGCAGGAACAATCCCTCCCAGGCAGGGAGTTCATCAGTGTTTTTCCTTCAGTCGTTGTGCCCGCTGTGCGGAGAGCACCGCTGCCTCTGCCGAAGCTCGTGCTGGTGCGAGAGGCGATGTCCCCTGTGCGTAGTCCTGCTGCGCTTTGTTGGGCGCTGATACGGTCCGTTGCTGCACCAAGTGGCGGAGAGCATTCTGGTACAGTTAGCCGTGTGCAGGAAGACATGGAGGGAGGGAAACCTGTTTCCTGGACTTAACACAAATGCCTGTGTTCCACCCAAATGCAAACCTATTTCTCGTTCTGCTCCTTGTCGCCTTCAGCCAAGGAACGGGACCCCTGCAAAGTGACTTCCGGCTTATTAAAGCAGGCTGATTATAGCTTTCCAACAAAGTTACAGCGCTGCCTTTCTCCTGAGATCTCGGGCTCACAGTTTACGCTCAGCTATTCCCTGAGTTTACTTTCTTGATGTTGGGGAATGTGACAGCTTCTAAGGTCACGTCTTTACATAGTGATTTAAAAATGTAAAGTGTTTCTAGAAATTAGTTTTCAGATAACCGAAGTCCCCTCCTTTTTTGTTAAATTGCTTTTTAAATGGAAATCTTTGTAAATTTTCTGATAGAGGTTGTAGAGAGTTCGAAGAGTGGAGTGGACTTTGTGGATTTTCTCTTCCAATCTCCTTTCTGACTGAGGTTACAAACTTTATGACTAATAACACGAAGCTTGAGAGGAATAGATTAATGTCTAGAGTTGGGCCGCTCGGATTGTCGATGGAGGGTCCAGTTCCACAGCATCTCCCTTGTCCGTAGCTGTCACTTGCTACTCCAGCTGCGCACCTATGTCCCGCACATTCTGTCGGCCGACTGGCCAGGAACCAGGGGGTCTTGGTGGTCGCAAACAAGCAGCCCTCGCATGGCATGTGATCGTGCCCAGCACAGTCCTGAGTGCTCAGCTTTACAGTGCTGCTCTCAGTAGTGAAAACTGCCTGATGAGTGACCTTGGAGCAGGGGACAAAGTGTTGGTATGGTTGGATTGTTCGTTTTCTTCAGATAGATGCAGAAATCAGAAGATTAGAGAATGGGTTATTGCCTTGATCTTTTGTAGTGTTTCTCAGCGCCGTGCCGTCTACACTCGTACGACCTTGCTGTGTTGTTCTCTTTCAGAGGAGTCAGACTCAGTCTCCAACGCCACCAAAGCCTCCGTCCCCGAGCTTCGAATTGGGGCTGTCCAACTTCCCTCCGCTGCCTGGGGCGGCAGGCCACTTGAAGACTGAGGACTTGTTTGAAAACAGGCTGTCTAGCTTGCTACTGGGATCATCAAAAGAAAGGGTAAGACATACGTCACAAGTCCAGTGGTCACGGACGTTGGCCGAGCACCGACTTCCTCCCAGGCGCTAGGCTGAGCTCCTTACACGTGAGACTTTTCACATGCAGAAGAGGTTCAGAGGGGAGAGGTTCAGAGAGAGTAAGGGGTCTGCAAAGGCCACACAGACTTTGAGTGGTTGGGTCAGAGCCGAACCCAGACTGGGGCCTTTCCGTTTCCTGTCTGCCAAGGTCAGAGGGAGAAGCCTGTGCCATGGCGTGCAGCGTGGACGCTTTCTCTCACCCTGAAACTTGGATTGCATTTTTAGTGTTGCTATGTAGGACCTGCCTTTATTTTACAAGTCAGAAGAATAATAGAGAAAAATGTGAATTATACCTGCAGTAATATGATTTTTTAGTAATCTCTGTGAATAACAAGCCTGAAGTGACTTTTCTGTATTGTTAGTGCCTTGGGGACTCCGTTGGCTGCCAGACTGGCTGCTTGCTTTCATTCCTCTGTGTGATGACAGCCCCAGGAACTCACTTCAGCTCCGGGGTCTCAGGGGCTGATTCCCAGTGCTCGCGCCTCCATCCCTCCGTCCCTGGGTCCGCTGTGGCTGACGAGCTGCGGAGGGCCTCGTGCTGCTGCCAGCAGTGGTCCTGTGTCTTCTGGTGGAAGTTCACCCTTGCACACCCGATGTCAAGAGTTAGAACTCTAGCCTCTGAGTTGGGGAAGGCCACACCCGGGCTCTAGACTCCACACTCAAGGCCACCGTGACAGCCGCTAGTCCCCAGGCAGGATTCATGGTGGAGTTTATAAAGCTAGCATTGAGGCCTTTTTACACCGGTGTGCAGTTAATGTGCTCGTTTTTAACCTGCGAGGTCAGAATAACGACCGCTTGTTCGATTTGGCGTGGCTTGTGCATTATTCTGAAGTTCCGAAGAGTACTTTCTGAGTTACGAGTGCCTGCCTCATAGAATGAGTGGGAGAATCAGTGCATTTTGGAGATCGTGAATTCTAGTTTTCAGACTGACTTTCCTCCTCCAAGAGGTGGGCAGAACAGGCTGGTCTCTGTCCCTTCAAAGAAAGCAAGTACTATTTTTTTACTGATTGAGTTTCTGTGTAAAATTTCTTTTGAAGAAAGAATTGCTACTTTTAAAAAGCCAGAGCCTGACTCCATGGCCAGGTGGGCGCCTCCGTCCAGGACAGCGGCGACTCAGAGCTGGCGGGGAAGGGCCTCGGTGGCCGTGCAGGCCTCGGAGATGCCAGGTGTGGTCCCCGACTGCTCACCTTCCGGCGCGTCAGGCCCAACAGACCCCGAGTCGACTGAGCTTTTACAAAGCGGAGGCATTTCCCTTCCCACATCCTTCCACCTCAAGCGCCAGGTCGTGCAGGGGACGGTGCTCGGGCCACATGTCTCTGGCGCGCCGTGTGGGCTTGGTGTGGATGGTCACGTTCCGCCCACCTCCACCGCTCGTCTGTTTTGAAAAGTAAAAGTTTAAGACGGTGTCACCTTTTTGTACTTAGTCTCACTTCCAGTTATTTATTGGCTGTCCTGCCACTTTTATGAGTTACGCGTTGTGAAGAAGACTGTGTATGAGCTGCCACTGTGCACGGGGCCGGTGGCTGGAGCAAGCGCATCTGGTGTCGGGGCTTTGCCTCGTGGCGGTGGGCATTTAACGACCGTTCTGTGCTCAGGCTCTCCCCTGTTAAGTCGGGGCACTAACACATCCCTTCCAGGGGTGTTTGTGAATTCTGGGGGGAACAGCAGTCAGCACCTGCCACGCACCTCAAAATGCTGAGTTGTGTCGGTGTGGAGGGCAGTTGTGTGTTTTCGGCGGTTTCCTTGAACTGTTCTTTGTGTCCCAGGTTATGCTAGGCATTGGGGTGTCAGCCGGGTGAGAGGGTTTTGGCATTTGTTCGGTTGGGAGGACAAGCTTGCAGGCAGCATGGGGGAGGCAAGAAGAGGGCCCAGACGGGGGTTTGTGGGAGGACAGGCTTGGGTGCTGTCTCCTCCTGCCGCCGATGGCTCGTGCTCCAACTGCCACTCGGTGCCACGGCACTTCCCATGCCCCAGGACAGCGGGCAGCCGTCGGCTCCATCGGGCGGTACCCTTGTTGGCCCGTTAGATCACTATGACACATGCGACGCATGCCTCTCTGCCCGCCTGTGAACTGTGATTCCCCTGGTTTCAGGGCCTCGGCACGGACGCAGGCGTGAGCACTCTGCCCGCAGCAGCCCCCAGAGAGCCCCCGGGGCCAGCCCCCTGCACGCTGTCCGCGGCCCACGAGCGTGCCCCGTCCCCTGTCTGCCTGCCCGAGTAAGTGCCCGGCCCGCTGCCTCCTCCCCACCCCCTGGGATTGCCGTGGGGTGGGACACTCACGTGTTGGGCGGCCTTTTCACAGGGACCCCAAGGTGGTAGAGAAGCCGAGGGAAGCCCCGAGTGCAGACAGACTTCCTTCCGCCTCGACTGCGAGTAAATCGGTGCAGGTGAACGGTGCCGCCACGGTAGGTGCGGGGTGATGGGTGGCTGGAGGGGGAAGCAGCCCCCGCTCGGTGCCCCTGCTTTTCCGGTGCAGCCCGCCTGGGCAGCTTTCACGCCGTGCCCTGTGCTTCTGGCGCAGGCCCCTCAGCTCCGTGCACGCGTTCCAGCCCACTGCCCGCAGTATTCCTTGTCAAGCAGCCACGGCACCGTGTCTCGGTGTCTGTTGAGTGACGTCCTGCTGAGTAGTCACGAGACGCAGGCTCTGGGCCCCATAGGCTTGGAGCTCATCTGAGCACCGACTGTCTGTCGCTCACAGACGTGAGGACGCGGAGGCACCTCTTCCCCGTGTGGGAAGTCCCTGCCCTGTGTGGGTCCGGCCTGTTTTATTCTGATGTGCACTGTCCTCAGTTTGATCTCGGGTCAGCTTTTGTCGTTTGGATTGGGGAGGGAAACCCCTACTGCCTACTAGGTTGAGTCTTTAAAGAATATTTTTTAGGTTAAAATTATTTTTAACTTAGCAAATCATTTATCGAGGTGGAATAGTTCTGACTAATTCCTCTCTGTCACTTAGCCTCCTGCTTCCACTTACCTGAAAACCCTATTCACTTTTTTTCAAGATTTAACTCTTTCCTGAACCCACACCACCAGCCCACTTAGTGTGAAGTGAGCACAAACATTTTAAAGGCAGTTCTGAGGTTCATCAGTCAGCGATGGCTGTGTGGCCCTGTGTGGTGGTGCGCGCAGGGAGCAGGGCAGAGGAGACGGCGGCTCCCAGCCTCCCCGCTCTCCGCACCCTTCCCTCGGGCCTCCTCGGGGGCCCCCACATGGCTGGAGAACCCTTCGAGCCGGAGGGGAGCCAGCTAGCTGTGTGCCTCCGTGGCCCTTCTTGGCCTTCCCGTACTTACAAGGGCGTGTCTCCTGGCGGGGGCGGTGCCGCAGGGGAAGCTGCATGGCTGAAATCTGCAGAGCCCTTTAAAGCAAAGATGCTTCTGACTATTGAAAACGTTTTTACCTTTACCTTAAGAGAAGGCTGTTTTGGCCTGTTGCCCCCGGAGCCGGCACGTTGTGCAGGTAACCTGAGCTGTGTCTTTCCCCAGGAACTGCGGAAACCCAGCTACGCGGAGATTTGCCAGAGGACAAATAGAGAGCCTCCATCCTCCCCGCTGCAACCCCCAAAAGAACAGAAGCCAAACACTGTCAGTTGTGGGAAGGAAGACAAGAAGCTCGCTGAGAGAGAGCCCCCCGCCCCCAAATCCAACCCGGGACCACCCAGAGACCAGAAGAGGCCGCTAGGCCGCCGGCCCTCGCCCCCCGCTGCAGGGCGGCGTCCACACAGAGAACAGAGCACCCCTCCCCGGTCCCCTCAGTGAGCACCCAGGTCTGGGAGGGCTGTGAGGAGCTGAGGTCGCACGACTAAGCACTGTCCTACTCGGTACCGAGAATGAGCCACTGGTTAGGAGCTTGCAGTGTAGACAAGGCCCGCGAAATGCCTGCAAGTTATTTTTCTTCTATGAGTCAGATTTTCCCCCTCTTGAAAAAAAATCTATTTTTCAGGATTTAATTAATATAAACCTTATTTTAGGTTGGTGCTTAACTGGAGGTGATGCATAAGTCTGATTTTTTTCAGGATAGAAAATGCATTTATCCTAACAAATTGATATTTTTTATTAAGCCTCCATGTGGCTATGAATGCAAGCTATAAATAGTGAGTTTTTCTAAATTAAGTGGAACTGTGCTACTTCATTTTTTAAAATAACTGGTTGGCAAGTGCATATCTCTAAGGGTGTCCAGACCGATGGGTGAGGCTGAGGACAGTCGGTTGAGGGCACGAAGCGGTGCTGTAGGTGTGCCTGGAGGAGGGACAAGTCAGACCAGGCACACACTGGCCCGGGCGTGTGCCCTCATGCAGAATCCCAGCAAGCGGTTCTATCTTTTTAGAAAAAGTGCAACCCCTTTTTTGATCTACTGGGCAAACAGAAGCCGCAGAGAGCCCCCAAGAGCCTGAAACCTGGAGTTTTGATGCACTGCAAGCGAGTAACCAGCTCCTCAGTCCAGTCCCAAGTGGCTGTCATGTAAGATAAATTCAAAGCACATTGTGAATAGAACTCAATGGAAACATGAACTTTGTTGCCCACTGACATGTCACCGCAGAATTGTGCCCTGGTGTTGTCTTGCTCCCACGAGCTGGTGGAAGGTCCTGCGTCTCCCCCACGTTAGCCGGCTCCCACGGGCGCCTCCCCGACCCTCCGCATCAGCACGGGCCAAACGTTACTTGATCTTGGGAGAGTGTTTGGTGCCCTGTGGTGGTGGAGGGTGAGAATTCCCGCTCTTTACCTCCGAGACGGGGCCTCCTGACCCCTCTGGAAGTGCTGCACTCTGAACACGCATGCACTAAAGCTAGTGGTTTCTGATAAAGTTACATATAAATTATTTTCTTTTAAAATGCCTAAATTTTTCCTTTAAGTATTCTAAGCAGCAGACATTAAAATAAGAATATTTCCTGCTAAATGTAACCATACAGTTTATTCTGCAAAATGTTATTTAACAAGACTGAGGATTTTTTTAAAAAAGTTATTTCCATCCAATATTTAAAGACTTGAATTTTATTTAAACTTGAAAATGACTTTGCCTTAACTTTTGTATAAGACAGCGTAGAGTTCCTGGAGGTGGTCCCTGGGGTGGCGTGCGTGGCTCGCAGTCGCTGGGTGAGGCGGGTCTGCCGGCGCTGGCTCTGCCGAGGCCGCGTGCGGAGGACGCGGACCAGCGGTCGGGCTTGCAGCACAGCTGGAAGATCTCTCACAGCCGATCTTTGCTGACTGTCGAAAAGGCCTGTAAATGCAGATAGTCGATACTGTATTAAATGTGTGCACTTGGGAGTGTGTGCTTCGCTTGTACAGTTGTAAATAATCAGAACATATTAAAAAGGTACCCTAAAGAGAAAAATCTGATAAAAATTATTGATATATTATAAATGTTGCTATTGAGCTGAATGTAGATAAACTAAATGTTGTGGTTTGAGTATTATTTTAATTTGTTGAGGTTTTTTTCCCCCTCTTGAACTGGTGTGTTGAACTGATTCTGCCTCTTCGCTGCTGCAGAGGGGAATGGACGGGCTCATGAAAGCCTTCGCACACGGTCATGCTCTGCCCGAAAGTATGCACACCTGCTCGTCCAGCTGGCGTGGAGGGGTTGTGGAGTGTGATGGAGAAAGCAGAGGCCGGCAGGACCTCCAGGAGAAGGGAAGCGTGGTCTGCTGCTGAGGATCACGAGCAGCCCGGCCTGGCTCCCCCTGCCGGGGCCTCAGAGCAGCCAGCGTCAGTCACACACCTAGCCATGCACACAGTGCTAACGCCTTGCAGATGCCTGTGAGAGGAAGATGGGGATGCATTTCTCTGTGGTTGTGAGATCGCTGGCAGAACGCGGGAACAATTGGCCTCTTAGACCCAGACCAGCGAGGACTGGAGAGACTTGGACAGGCAGCTCCGACCGAGGAGCCACCTAGCGCTGCGGCCTTGCCGGAGGGGGGCCGATGCTGTCAGCCATCGTCGTCCCCGAGTCACTCAGGACAAAGCTGCCTTTCCCTTACGCACGTGTGGACTGGTGGCTGGAGCTCGCCGCTGCAGTTACGGACAGGACGATGGTGACCACTGTGACAGCAGGCCAGCCAGTCGGCGTGGCGAGGCACACGTGCACAGCAGGGCATGCCGCGCAGCTCCCGCAGCCAGTCCATGGCATCCAGAGTTGCACCTTGCTCTGACAGGATTTTTATAGCACCCTTTTTCATTAAACAAAGGTGATATGCCAAATAGCTGTATGATGTCCCAAAAACAACCTTTCTGATACTACTCTGAGATTCTCCACTCACAGGAAAGAATGGGAGTTGGCACAACAGGAAGTTGTGACGCAGATGGCAGCTCTGTCACACGCAGCCAATAGTATGTGGCGTTTGTACATTTAAAAAAGCGTCACTTTCCTTTCCCCCAGCAGTATTTCGAGGTATAGAATCAGATACAGCAGTCACAAATGACCTTTTAACTTGTACAGTTGTGTGATGATACTTGCCACTGGGAAATCTGAGCATCCGGCCTGCTTCTCCAGACATGAATTTCAAGCAGTGTAGTTGCTTTTTAGGAGTCAGTGTCGTGACGTTTCCGATCCAGCCCTCCCATAGGCCCCGACGAGGGCAGCCGCCACGGCAGGTGCAAGCCGTGGGTGGGTTCACACAGAAAGCAGCAGACAATCGGAGATGGAGGGAGAGCCACCAGCTGCCAGGTCGCGAGATGGGGTGTGATGTGGAAGCTTTCTTTGAGGGCTTTCGTTTTTCTGTTCTTTTCATTAAGACTGGAATCAAGCTTATGTGTAAACTATTGGTAATTTAAGTTTCCTTTGTGTCATTCAGTGTAAAACTGTCTAATTTGAAAAAAAAATGTAGGTTATGAGAAATAAAGATTTAGGCACTGTTCAATTTTTCTTTCGATTTTTTTAAATTAAAATTTTCTTTAAGAACACATCTTCTTAAAAATAATTTTTTGTCTGTTCCGTCAGCGTACGTGAGAATGAAGCGCGGGTCCCCTCCAGCTCGTGTCTGGGTCACAGAGACGTCTGTCTTGGCACACGCGTGAGCTGTCCACGAGGACTCCCCCAGTTGGCTTCTCACTTTAAGGTGCTCAGAGCGAGCACTAAACTCAAGCTTTCATGAGGAGACTGCTCGTTACACCCAAGGTTTACTGCAAAAGTAGATTTCCCTTTGTTAGCGGCTTCTGTTTCTCATGTCTCATGTCTCCGTAAAGTCACTTGGAGTTGATGTTGAGGACGTGGTTTTTAGACTGTTAAGTGAGCCTCAGAAACAAAGAAAGTGGCTTATCCCTAAGTAATGGTGACGCCCACACTAGTAAATGGACACGGATGAGACCTCTTAGTGTATTATTCACTTAGGGGAGAGATGGGCTGATTAGATGTTAATGGGCTGATTTTCTTCTATGAATTGCCTGTTTATATCCTTTTCTCATTTTTCTACTAGGTTATCTTTCTTGTTGACTGAGTATTCCTTATCTGTTCTGGTGATTAATTCTTTGTTACGTATGTTACAAATATTTTCTCTCAATCTCTACCAAATGTCTACTTAGAGTACCTTACAGTTTTTAATTCTCATCTAGTAAAATGTATCAATCTTCTCATGTATGTTTCGAGCTCCTCGGTCTTGTTTATGAAGTCCTTCCCTACTCGAGTCATAACAATAACCCTTAGGCACAGCTGCGTCCTCAGTCCGTCTGGAATGGATTGCTTTGTGTCTGCGTGTGTGGTCCCAGGTAAGAACCCAATTTTTCTTTTTGTCACGTGGAGAGTTTCTTTCTCCCATGTCACATACTAATGAGTTCATTATTTTCCCACTGGTGTGTGATGCCACTGTTGTTCCCTGCAGAGTTCCCACATGCGCATGCGCCTTATCTGGGCTCACATTGCGAACCACCTACGGTTCTGTTCCTCTGCTGACGCCGTCGGGGTGCTGTTTGTAGAACTCCTAGCACTAGCTGCGTGTGCCCCATGGCAGCAGGAGTGAAGCCTGCCTGGATCACACTGTATCCCTTGTTCTGTGCACACCGTCGGTGACAGTAGACACTCAAAAAATACTTGTGAGATTAGTGAAATATTTATTATGTATTTTCTACATGCAGCACCGGCCTAGGAAATCTGGGGAGAAATGGGGTGATGTGTTCATTGCTACTTCTGCATAACTACCCAAATCTCAGTGGCTTAAAATAACAAACGTGCACTGGCTGAGGTAGGCTTGGCCAGGCTGCACTTGTGTGTGTCACCTGATATGGACCTGTTTTGGGGGTGGGGGACAGGCCATAGCTTGTCACCATGTGCGTCTCATCTTTGGGCCAGCAGGCTGGCCAAAACGTGCCCTCGTCCATCTGCACTCCCTCACGGTGTCTTGCAGGTCCCTAGCCCCACCCCGTGTGGAAATGCCAGCAGCCCCGCAGCATCAGCAGCAGTGAGACTGCTGTGGCACAAGGTGTCCCCAGGGGCCCATGTCCTTTTCGTTCCCTGCGGCTCAGGGTCACCTCCTTCCCCTGCTGGAACAGGGTGCTGCAGACAGCTGTGTTAATGTGGGGCAAGGGCCTTGTCTGGCTTTTAGGGACTGCCAGGTCCCCAGCACATTCACATCTTGTTGGCCAGAGTGAGGACCCGTGTTCACGACATGGCAAGACTTAGGAAAGGGGAGGTGGCCACCGGCCCCCACACAGCGAACGCTAGGGACATCCTTAACCGGCAGCCCCTCACTCCAGGCTCATACACGACCACCCGTGTGACTTGACCACCTGAGTTGGGTTGGTGTCTGAGACCGACCGCTCAGTATATCTGATTTCCTCCTCAAGACTCCCCCTCAGTTGGCGCCACCGCCCACCCACAGCTGATCGCCACTTCCTCCAGGTCTCCCGTCACCTCCGCCTTCATAAGGCACCTCGATCCCTGTCACTCTGCTCGGCCACAGCCACCTCTTACAAGCACTTACCTGGCCTCCAATCCTCAACACCCTCGTCCTCACACCGGCTGAGGGCTCCTATGGGTGTTTCCTGGCTAACCCTGCAATGGTCCCCATGATGCAGGAGCCTCTGTGTCTGCACTGCTTCCGCCCACCCCTTACCCTGCTGCCGCCTCCACGTTTCCACAGCTTGACTGGTTTCCCTGCTCCTGTGTCCACTCTCAGCTCAGCTGTCACAGAGCCTGTCCCTCCTTGAGCCACCTGTCACCTCTGCCTCATTCCCTGTCTCACGTTATTCGTACTTTAATGTGTTTACTACTGGCCTTGTCTGTATGCATGCCTCTGTCTCCCCAGTGTCTGGAGGGCGGCCCAGGATGAGCGTCTTAAACCCGTTCAAAATGTCCCAAACACTCACTTGCAGGCTGAAGTCCACCAAAGTCCATCAGCCCCAGACTTTCCTCAAACTGTCGGCTCGCCATACTCTGCCTTGCCAACCTGCCCCTTCCAGGTGGCGACAGCCCATTGGGCCACACCTCGGGCCCCAAACCTGCGACTCCCTTTAACTGCTTCCTCTCTCCCATGCTGTCCGCAATGTCCTTCTCTGCCTCCTCTGGGCCAGTGAGCTAACGGCTTTTTTGCTCAGCTCTCCTATGCTTTCTCACAGCTGCCCAAGTAGGCCTGTGGCCTCAGCCTTGTTCGGAGCCACCTCAGCGCCCACCCCTGAAGTGACCTGGGTGACCTGCCCAGTCCTCAGACTCAGTGGGTGACAGGCTCCCTCCCTCCAGCCTCTCGATTGCCACCTGCCTGCCTGTCCCTCCCTGTGTCTCCCTTGGTCCCCATAACCACTTCGGAGAACGCTTCTGCATCTTGTTTGCTGGCCTCCCGTGATGCACACTTCTTTAGGGCAGGAGGGACTCTTTTTGCCAGAGATGGAGAGGGGTACATTTTGTTTGTACTGTTTCTCCAGTGCCTGGACTTTTAAAAAGTCCTTTAAAATATTCTTTAAATAAATGTTGAATCAAGTGATTTATGTTTTGAGAAGGCCATTTTTGCAGGCTTTTGGGAGGTAGGATGGAGGGGAGAGGTCAGGAAGCCCAGGTCATGTCTCTGGGTGACGGATGGATAGCATAGGGAAGGGAAGAGGGAAGTCATTAAAGGTGAATTCAGTTTGTCAATGTAAGATGTCCAAACCAGTAGAGAAGTTTTCTGAGTTTATTTGAGCCAAAATGACCACAATTATGGGGAAGCAAAATCTCAATGGAATGAGAAAATGCTCTAGGGAATGGCCGTTTTGCAGTTCCTTTCATGCGTTTAGAATCAAGGGAGAAATGTAAGAAAGGTGCTCAGCACCCACTGGGGCTGATTGAAGGAGTGAGAGAGAGTAGAGTGGGAAATGTCTAGGATCAGACAGGAAAAATGGAGACTTCTGTTACCTGGGTGGGAGCCAGGTAGGTAATGACTGACATTTGCAGCACAGGGAGATGATGGTCTTCGGGCTACAAGATAACGAGAAGGTCTGTATTCTTTGCTCTTGTGCCTCTGAGGGGTCAGGAAAGAAAATGACTGACATTTCAGAGGTATGTGATCCCAGACGCATGAGAACAGACAGGCTCACTTAAGGCAAAGACTGACCTTTGCCAAGGAGGACGGGCCTGGGACAGGGCAACCCACCATGGCCCGCCCACTGAGGAGTTCATGCTGAGACTGTCCTGTGGCCGCTGAGGTCGCTGAGCTTGGTGGGCTTATTGCATAGTCCCTGCACGTCCACGGGTCCCCAGCTCAAGCATGTTGGAGCACAGGTGGTGACGCATCACTCAGATGAGGGAGACCCTTGCATGGAACGAGGTGGGGACGCGGGACACAAGAGTTCTGTTTTGGACATCTCGGCCTTGCGAGGCCCCCGCAGCCACAGGGGGGACTGCGGTGTCCGAGAGGCAGCACCTCGGCCCAGAGGTCTGGCGGGGCTGAGAGCAGGCAGAGGAAAGACCCAGAGGCCGATGACCAGGCTGGTGGGGGAGCAGGAGGGAGTGTGTGTGAGGGGACCCTTTGAGGGACCGAGAAGCTGGGGCAGTACATGTGCCTTGGATGTGGCAGCCTGGAGTATCATGGTGTCCTTGAAAAGATTAGTTCTAAATATGCCCAGTGTTCCCTCCTGGAGAGTCATCGGGGTGGGGAGGGGCAGACGCTCAGTTCTGGGCCACAGCTCTGTCTTCCGAGACCTGGCTCCAGCCCTGGTGTGGAGAGCCGGGCTGTGTCATTGTGTCCAGGCACCACAGGTGGGCCTTTCCTTGGCCTCGTCACTGCCCAGGAGGCTGCTCTGACCCCTCTGTCCTTTTAAACTCAGGACAGCTGGTGTCCTTTGGGAAGGAATAGCAGCTGAGGACAGC